AGCCTTCAGTCTCCTAATTGTCTTTGTTGCTCTTCTCTGCACTCTTTCTAGAGTCTCAATGTGTTTTTTATATTGTGATGACCAAGTGTGGTCTTACCAGCATGATCAACCAGTATACCTCCAGAGTAGGTATACTCAACATTTTCAGCATTTGGGTCTTTCTCTTGGTTTTGAAGTTTGCGAAAGTTTGAAGGGCTACATTATTCTTTGCAGAGACTTAGACCAGGGGTGTCAAACTGGCGGCCCGCAAGCCAGATGTGTCACGCACAGGCCACACCCACCCCAGCTCCGTGAAGGGAAAAAACGTCGTGATATGTCATGTGAAGACGTGACGCGGGGAGTTTGACACCCATGGCTTAGACATTCATTCCAGTCTTCCCCGCTCCAGATGAGTAATGGTCTCATCCACTTTGGGTGCATTGCTGTGTAATATACTGTGTAAGGCTGAATATGGTCTTTGGGCCAACAGGAATTGAGAACTCTTGCAATAAATGGTCATTTAGAGCTGGAGTCAATAGCAAGCCACAATCCAGTAGGACTGTTACTCATCTGTCCTCCCCTATTATGACGACTGTTTCCTTCATATAGGTTCATCTATTCTTTGGCGTGGCATCAATTTATAATTTAATCTTGGCTAATTCATTAAAATCATAACTAGTACTTCCCTCTGGGAATTGAGCCTTAATCAACCATGAATTTTGATATAATAACTGTTCAATGAATCAGAATAAGCAGCTGCTTCCCTCACTTTTCTTTGAAAAATAATTTGGAAAGCCTATTTCATTTCACTGCTGGACTCTCTTGTTTGTTGTTGTTAGAAGGTCCTCCTAACATTGCCTCCAACAATAAATACCCATGTAAGGCCAACACTAAGTAGAGGGGAAAGGTAAAAGTGATTGTGAAAGGGTCTCAGCATTGTTAACTGACAATCTCAGGACAAGACCAGCTGTTGTGCAGAGACCATTTCTTTTTGCTTACCAGGGGACCTGGGGGCCCTGCCTGTCCTGGAGCTCCCAGTAGACCAGGTTCACCCTAGAGAAGAAAGAACTTGCAACATTAGCTACAAGAATTAAAAGACTTTTGGAACTAAAAAGTACATCTTGGCAAAGTCTCCCATTTTCTACATCATCCCCTCTCCATGAAAAAGTCTTTGATCTGTTCCCATGCAAAACTTTGAGGAGGTAACCTTGAAGTGGTTTGCCAAAATAATTTTAGTTATTGTTTTAGTTGCTAAGTCATGACTCTTCACAACCCCACGGATCATAACACACAGCCCTCCCATCCATTATCTCCCTGAGTCTGCCCAAATTCAAAGTCATTTGCCCTACCTCTAAAAGCTAAACAGCCATGTTGCTTCATTCCACCTGCCTCTCCAGCAGTTCCAAGAGGAGAGCAGCATGTGCAAAAGTATATTAGAATTAATGGAATTGATAAAAGAAGATTTGAGGCCACACAACAAAAAATCAGTAAAGGGAACTGCACCAGTTGTCTTGAAATATCTTATCAAAAGAAAACTTGACTGCCTTGCATATTAAACTTTTGTATTCACTTTTACAATAATCTTAAATCTTAAGATCTTAAAAATAAATAATCCTTTAGAAATACTTTTAATGTGTCTTTCATTTTTTTAAAAAAATCTCAACAAGGCTATGGATATATGTGGAGTAAAAGCAAATTTACATGGTAAGGTATATGTGGAGAAAGAGTAAGTTTTCAATCACCTTGTAATATTTTTTTGACAAATAAGAAGCTGTGTGCAATATTATGTGGCCACTTACCATTATGTGTTTAGTTAATCTCTCAAAATATATTAAGTTGGAAAGCTATTTTCCCTTGCCCTTATTGGGGAAGGGGAAAGAAAGAAAGAAAGAATTCCTTGCAAAATAACTGTTCCTTTCCTTCTCCTTGTGAATTCCATCAAGTGACATGATAGTTCTGAACTATCCAATAGAAGTTTTGCTGCATAATTCTGATCCAAACTGAGAATTGGTTTTAAAAAATGGCTTAGACATGGCATAACTACCAGGTTCACATAAAATCATTAAATCTAGGATTTTGTCCAATCCTGTTCTAGTTCTTGCTACTTCTGGGTTTATTAGAACAGAAATCAACTTGTGAAATTTTTTACAGCTGTGAACATTTCCCTACAAATGTTTAGAAAGATGCTCTTGAAACATTTGTTTTCTCTTAATATACTCCTTTTCATTTTTAAAAAAATCTGATAATAGCATGAGCCATTGAGGAAGTATAGAATTTAAGAGACATATATTTGGTGGAAATGTCATAAAGCTCAACTCGGCTGGATAATGAAACATGTCCCGAATGCTAACTTTCCTTTTCTACCAATTACTGAGCTGGTTTTATATATATTTGTCAGAGGGATACTTTATGCTTTTTACTCAAAATCACACTTAAAATCCTTTAAAAATGACAGTTTATATTCTGGGAGAATGTAACATAGTCTAAAGTACATTACATTTGAAAAAAAAGTCAGATGTTAGTTTCAGTTTAACTTAGAAACTCTGTACATGCCCTGCCATTACATCTGAGTTTTGGGTTCTCTTAAAATACACATTCTAAACACTATTCATTATTTTTATAATATAGGTTTCTTATCTAATTTAAATTTTGATTTCAATAGTAGTTAAATACAAGTTATGAAAGTACTAGAATGGTAAAAGGGTCACAAGACTATCTTCATATTTGTTTTAATCCAAGTTAATATATCAAGATAAAAGTAAGATGTTTCTTCCAGTTGAATAGTTGGTGTCTTTTAATTTTATCTTTATGTTACTCTGCAAACTTTTCCATGTAACATCTGTACTTTATGATTTTTGTCTTTTTCCTCTCTTTTCTTTTAAAATAAACAAAGAAGTGAACAATTAATAAATGAAAGTTTTCTTAACTAAGAGGTGCAGATCATGATGTACTGTAAAGCTGGATCGGAATTTGCTAAGAGGAAATTCTTCAATCATTACTCACTAAGCCATATAAAATAAATGGCCTATAAACTAAAGGAACAATATGCGTGCATCTAAGGGAACTCCATGCTCAGCTGGAGCTTTCTTTGATGTCTTCACCGCTTCATTTCCCTCAACTGACAATGTGAACAACTTTAAAATGCTGTGTGCCTCCCTTCTGATGCACCAAAAGCTCTTTTGAACTACAGTCACTCATTTGAAAGGGATCTAATAAATGACCCTGGAGTTAGTCCATTTATTCCTTAAACAGGAGTTTGTTCCAAAGAATAGAATATTTTTCCACCACCTTTCCAACCTTATTATTCCTTGCCCAACTCTTCTAGCATTAGAAAGACATTTTCTAATTTTTCAACTAAATCCACCTGCTAATAGTTCAAAGTTCATTGCTTCTGGTTGTCTATTTTTAGACTGAAGAACAGAGACTCACCTTCTCCTCAAACTCTTTTCACATTATAAAGAAACTTGATTTTCTGCGTTGGAACTTTATTGCTAATGTTTGCATTTTTCTCCATGAAACATGATATTCCATTAATTTGCAGCCTATTCTCTGTCATCCCTCTGTCAACTGTTTGCCAAGAACTGGAGATACTTACTGCTGCACCAGGAATTCCACGCAGACCTTCTGAACCAGGTTGGCCTGGAGGTCCTTGTGGGCCCACAGGTCCCATTTTCCCTGAGGGACCTTCTATACCAGATTCACCCTACAATCAAAATGGGAAAGAGAGAGGGGAAAAACATCCATTTATCATAGAAATATTTAATTATTTCAAGATTGTCCAAGATTATACACTATTTTCAAGGAGAAGATGGCTTTAAAGAATATTAAGTTAATTTGATTCACTTTGCTTTTTGAGATGAAGGATAGAGATGGCTATTGTAGAATGATTTCTTATATAGTATGTTTTGCTTTCGAGAACAAGAAGCCTTTTTCCTATGCATATATATGTACAGAAATTAATTAGATTGACAGTTGAATGTTACTTCCTCCAATATACTGTACTTTGTGGCAAGAGGCTGTAACATGGTGTTTCTCAATCTTAGCAATTTTAAGATGTATTGGGAGTTGACAAAGTCCACGCATCTTAAAGTTGCTAAGATTGAGAAACAAGATATGTGTCTTCCAACACAAGGAAGCCATTGCTACTTTTCAGAATCTTCTGTCTGAGATATTTGCCTCGCCTCAATACAACCCTGCAGGGAACTCTGTTAGTGGAATAGATGGAAGAAAAACAAACAAAACAAAAGAGAAACTAGCATTCCATTATTGGATACCAGAATAAAATTAGTTTGGTTTCTATCACCTTGGTCCCTTTCTCACCCTGTCGACCTTCACGTCCAGCTGGCCCAAAAGGTCCCTGGAACAGAAAAATGAAGTCCCTGCATAAATCATTTGGATTAAGATCTTGTGGTTTAACATTTCTGCCCTTCCTCTAGAGAACACTTAGTTCTATTTATACTCTCAATTTTATTAAACAAACATGTACAATTTTGTTCTAACCATAAGCTTATACAAAAATTAAAAAACTTGTTATCAGTTTGAAAAAAATCAGGCAAATCACACATAATAAAATGGACAGCATATTAGAGAGGAGCCATCCCCAAGGAGTGGAAATATATACATAAATAATTCACAAGACAGAAATAAAATATATCTAAAAAGTACACATGGATTGTTATGAATATTATTCAGACAATTAAAGATAAATTGAGAATTCATATACATTTGCTTAATTTTAAGCAAAGCCAATAAAAAAAATTATGATTTTCCAAGTCAACCTCAACCTTCTTTGTAAGCAGGACATCAGTATGCCTTTTTTTGAAGGATTCTTTTCATTTAAACAGCTCAGAAATACAATATTTTATATCAGGACCAGGAAAGGAAAGTTACATATTTTCAATTTCATCTAACATGGCATATATGTAATTACAAATTATATGCCATATTCTGGAATCTAAATAAAACTAACCTAAAATTATAAAACCAGCCTGCACAGAGTCAATGTTTTTTATCAGAAGGACCAGTATCAGAAGAAATTAAATCGGAGAGCATGTCCCTCATTCTGGAATTTCTGCCAAAGGAGAGAAGATAACATTTATTTTCAGGTGAGTTTCTGGTGTGAAATTGCAAATGCATGATTTCCTTTAAGGGGCCATAGATGCATTTTAATATTGGTTCAGCTTGTTTACAAGAAATATATTCCATTTATGGAAGAGGGAATGGGGCTGGGAGGGAAGTTGATCAAACAGAATTTTCATGGAAGCATCCATTCTGTTTTACTGGCTGCATCATAGGCTATATTTGGGCACATCATTTTATTCTGGCAGATTTTTTAAAAAATCCTTTAAAAAAACATTGTGGAATTTTTTTTCATGACTTTTTTAATATAAGGAGCCTTTGTATATAGCTTCTCATAAAGTGGGTTTTCAATATAAATTCCCCAAGAACTTCATTTTGTTTTATTTTTGCAAATTACCTTGATGTTTTCCTTTATTGCATAATTATCCAGATGCAGGCTTTTTTGAAAGGATGCTTCCCCATACATTTTTTTAAACAAATCAAATTACTATGTTTTGGCTAAGAGGGCTCTTGTGCCAGAAATATCACATCTTTAATCTATGCCCAATTTTCTTGTAGCTGTTTTATGGCCCATCAAGAAAGTAGTTAATAAGACTTTCAAGTAATGTATAAACATAGCATTTCCCTGTGTTTGGTTACTGTGGGTTGTGCTTTGCAGTCCTTTACTTTGAATCATGAGAGGGGCGATTCCATGGATGTTCCTCTTGTTATTTTGGTTTATTTGTCATCAAATTGAAAGTAGACAGTGAAGTAGAGATTGATGAGGTGCATGAATATGGGTATTTCAATCTTAGTGTATTTGGTTAGGTCGAGTGTGTTGTGTAGTACATCAATTTTTTCACTACCTTCGGATTTATGGATATAAAAAGTGCTGTGACATCAAATGAAACCATACTTTCATTTTCTTCTATTTTTTATGCCTTTGATTTTTTGGGAGGTACCGTAGTGGGAAGTTGATGGAGTATTCACTCCCCCCTGTGAGATGTCTGAGCTTTTTTGTTCTTTAGCTATGTTGCATGTTGGGGTCCCTGATAATGATACAACTGGATGAAAAGATGTGTCGGGCTTGTGTATTTTGGAACATCTATAGAAGCATGGGAGGGATGGGTCTACTGTTTTTCATCCATCACTGTTCTTCTTTTGTGAATTCTTTTTTTTTTCTTTTGGTTATGTCATTAAGGGTTCTCTTGACCGGGTCATCTAGTTTCTCTATTGGGTTGGTGCTTTCTGGAATGTAGATTTCTTTGTCTTCCATGGCTTTGGGTTTTTGAATATACTGTGTGCTATCCATGGTAACTGTAGTTCAATATTTGTCTGCTGATGGTGATGGTTTGATCCTTCTTTAGATTTTTGAGGGCTGCTCAGTCCTCTGCTTTGAGTTGCTTCTGATTCTGTGTTCTGATCTGTGGGTATTATTGTCTGTTTTATGTTTTGAGTCTCTGTGGCAGGACCTGTCCCTTTAAATCCTGTTTCTAAGGTTGTAAAGAATTCTAATTGATTAGCATTGTTTATGCTATGTCTATACCTTTCACTGGAGGTGAGAAATGCCTCCTCTGGTTTTGCCAGCTGCCTGGACCCCAAGAGAGGTGCTCACTGCTAGAAGTGACTGATGGGGTAAAAAGACTTTATCCCTGTCCTGTCTGGCTTTTAACTATCTTAGTTTGGTTTCAGTATATTTAGTTCTTAATAATATTTTAACTTTGTGTTGCTTTAATTTTTTAACTGTTTCTCACTTGTTTTATAACCTGTAAAACACCTAGAGTCACCTTGGAGGGGAGATGGGCAGAATGAATGAATGAATGAATGAGTGAATGAATGAATGAATGAATGAATGAATGAATAATAATAATAGTAATTGTTGTTGTTGTTGTTGTTGTTGTTATTATTATTATTATTATTATTATTATTATTATTATTATTATTATTGAATTTGTATACCGCCCTACTCCCAAAGGACTCAGGGCGGTGAACAGCCAAAAGATAAAATACATATAATACAAATGTTAAAAAACCATTAAAATAAAATTAAATAAATTGGCCCAGAGAACAAAAATTAAAACACCCCACATTTACAAGACAAATTTAAAAAATTTAAAAACAGTTTAAAAGAGAGGTTAGGCCAGGCCGGCCTGCTGGAATAGGAATGTTTTGAGGGCACAGCGGAAAGCGCGCAGATCCGGGATCCTCCGTATCTCCGGGGGGAGCTCCTTCCAGATGGCGGGTGCCCCCACAGAGAAGGCTCTCCCCCTGAGGGCCGCCAGTCGACACTGTTTGACTGACAGCACCCTAAGAAGCCCCTCTCTATGGGAGCGTACTGGTCGGTGAGAGGCTACTAGTGGCAGAAGGTGGTCTCGTAGATACCCTGGTCCTAAGCCATGGAGCGCTCTAAAGGTGGTAACCAAAACCTTGAAGCGCACCCGGAAGACCACCGGGAGCCAGTGCAGCTCGCGCAGAAGGGGGGGTCACATGGGAGCGCCACGTCGCTCCCATAACCACCCGTGTGGCCGCATTCTGCACCAGCTGGAGCCTCCGGGTGCTCCTCAGGGGGAGCCCCATGTAGAGAGCATTGCAGTAGTCCAGGCAGGAAGTGACGAGGGCATGAGTGACCATATTTAACGAGTCCTGATCCAGAAAGGGACGCAACTGGCAAATCAGGCAAACCTGATAAAATGCCCTCCCGGCCACAGCCGTCAAGTGTTCTTCTAAAGACAGCTGTGAGTCCAGGAGGACACCCAAGTTGCGAGCCCTCTCTGTGGGGGCCAACGACTCGCCACCAATAGTCAGTGATGGCACCAACTGACTATATCGGGATGTTGGAAACCACAGCCATTCGGTCTTGGATGGGTGGAGCCTTAGTCTGTTTCTCCCCATCCAGATCCGTACAGCCTCCAGGCACTGGGAAATCACTTCAAGGGCATCATTGGGGTGGTCCGGGGTGGAGATGTACAGCTGAGTGTCATCAGCGTACTGGTGGTACTTCACCCCGAAACCACGGATGATCTCATCCAGTGGCTTCACATAAATGTTGAACAGAAGGGGCGAGAAGACCGACCCCTGTGGCACCCCATATACAAGGGGCCTCGGGGTCAACCTCTGTCCCCCTGCCAACACAGACTGTGACCGGTTGGAGAGAAAGGAGGAGAACCACCGCAGGATGGTGCCACCCACCCCTAACTCTTCCAGCCGGTGCAGCATGATACCATGGTCAATGGTATCAAAAGCCGCTAAGAGGTCTAATAGGACCAGGACAGAGGAGCAACCCCTGTCCTGAGCCCTCCAGAGATCAGCAACTAATGCAACCAATGCTGTTTCCGTGCTGTACCCAGGCCTGAAGCCCGAATGGAATGGATCCAGATAAGCTGATTCATCCAGGTACTGAGGAAGCTGTTGTGCTACCACACTCTCAACAACCTTCGCAACAAAGCGAAGGTTGGAGACTGGACGGTAATTAGCCAACACTGCTGGGTCCAGGGAAGGCTTCTTGAGAAGAGGTCTCACCACTGCCTCACTCTTCCCAGATAATATTCTCAAGACCTGCCTCCATCCTCCCCCCTGAATCTACCCCATCAGGGTCCAGCTGTTCCCGAATCTGAGCGATTTTATCATACAGATACTGTACAAAATCCTCGGCTCTATATACAAAAGAAGTATCCGAATAAGAAGATTCATATAGCTTATGAATGAAATATTTTTAAGTAGTTTATGTTTATAGTTTTTTGAGTTATAAGGAGTTAAAGATCTAGGGAAAATATGAATGCAATAATTTGTTAGCATATTTTAGTTTTACGTTTGTGAATATCTTTAACCTGTGCTTGTTCTGGGAAGTCTAGGGAGGGGGTGGGGGGGAGGGGGGAAGGGTGGGGGGGGAGAAAATGTTTGTATTTCTTATAAAACTTTTTAATTAAAAAAAATCCTCGGCTCTACCCTCCAAGGGGTCCTTCCGCGCTTCCTGAAGGAGAGGGAGCGGGTCACCCTAAACAGGGCAGCTGGGCGATTATCTGATGACGCAATAAGAGCAGAAAAATAGTTACATTTTGCCGCTTTTATCGCCACTAGGTAAGTCTTAATATGAGACCTTACCAGTGTTCGGTCAGATTCAGACCGGCTGGCCTTCCAACCGCTCTCCAGGCGTTCTCCAGGCGTCTTTTCTGAATAAATAAGATAGCTAGATAGATTGTTCTGCAGTGGACTGTGGAGGACTGAACATATTGACTACTCATTTAGGTTCTTTGTTTCCTGAGGATTAGCTTGAGCAGTTTGTTTTTGAGTTTTGTTTTCCTTTTTTCAGCTTGTCTTAAGAGATGTAGTCTTGATTGTGGTTGTCAGCATTTTTGTGTGTTCTGGTTTCATCGTTTGATCCAGTTGTTCTTGAGATTATTTAAGGAGTGCTGGCATTTGTTTAGTCGAGGCGAACATCCATGATCCTTAGCTGCATCACTTTTGGGTCATTTTGTTGAGCTACTTTCCATCCAGTTGTGCTGTTTATTGGAGATTTGTATCTGATACTGGTGGACAGAGCATGCTGTCATGGCATTCCTACAGAAAGAACAGTTGTGCCTTGGAGGTTTGCCTATGTAAGTCCCAACTTACCCTCTTCCCTGGTGGCCCAGGAGGACCTGGTTCCCCAAAAGCTCCAGGTGGACCCTAAACAAAATTAGAAAAATAAAACAAAAAGTATTATTTCTAAGGACATCATTTGGGAAGTCACGTGTTGTAGTGTACAGAGAAATTTTCCTGATCCCATAACATGGGTCTGATGTAGATCAATCACACACAAAAAAATCTCCCTGAGTGCAATGAAACTTAATTATCCTTGATTGGATTGATATAAGATTCCGGCTATGTATAAATATGCCACTACACATGAATGCAGTGTTTCTATTTGTGACAAACATTATTTGGATCAGTGGATGTGACTTTTAAGTATACATCAATATTAATATTTTAAGAGACAACTGTGTAGTATGCAACATTCTGCATCAAAATGCTTTTAATATTTTGATGGGTTTCAACTGTTTTTATTTTA